TATGTACAGATAGGCAAAGAAATATAAAAATGTTGCTTGAGAACTTCTTAGAAGTTGATTTAAGGATATTTACTTTGTATATTTTAACATGTGATGTTGACAATTTGTGTTTTAACAGTTATCAAGCTTTAACTTTTTGAATCTCAGCATCTACGGTCATTGAATAATTTCCATCTGACCCTGTCTATTGACTGATTCCCCCATAATTTCCCACACCTGTGTAAATTTAAATTGATACAATTGTAAAAAAACCCCACACCTTTTAAAATCCATAGTTTTGCAGAACTGTGAAAATTCAAATAGATAAATGTAGAAAACAATGCTTTAGAATATCCATTGATATTATCCTTTGAACCTAATCATCGAAATGTGGGGCTGGAAGGGACCTCCAGAGGTCATCAAGTCTGGCCCCTGCGCTGAGGCCGGACCAAGTAAACCTTGACCATCCTGGACAGGTATTTGCCCAACTGTTCTTCAAAACCTCCAATGACGGGAATTCCACAACTGACCTTGGAAGCCTATTCCAGAGTTTAACTACCCTTATACCTAGAAAGTTTTCCCTAATATCCAACCTAAATCTCCTTTGCTGCAGATTAAGCCCATTAGTTATTGCCCTACATTTAGAGCCCCATCACCTTCAAATTAAATATCTAAACCCCTCTTGCTCTCAGCAAGTTGCGAGAGGTGTAAACAAGGGGAGAATTTGGCTCTACAGTACTTAATTAACAATTCTACAAGGGATTTGCAAAAGCACCTAAACTATTTAGGAGCCCAACTCCCATTGAAAATCAAATGAATTTATGCTCCTAAATCACTTAGGGCCAGATTTGTAAAGTTATTTAGGTGCCTCAAGAGGCAGATAGGTGCCTAGTGGGATTTCAAAGAAAACAAGTTGTCTGATTTCCATTGATTTCAGCAAATCCCATTCACCTAGGCCCAATTAGTCCCATAATTATCCCTGCCTTAACTGTCCCCAAGTCCTTAAGGCATCACCACCCTTTGGCTGAGGAGGGCAGTGGATTTGGGGAAAACTCCGACAAGAACGCTACACAGTTGCTTAATTGTGTGCGTCAGCCGTTGTGGCTCCTGGCAGGTGTAAAGCTAAGTGCATGCACAGGTGTCTGCAGAATCAGAACCTTGGTGATGTGAGGCATTTCTCCAGTCTCCGTGATCTCTAAAGATAAGCAAGCTGTGCCTGTAATACTGCAGGCAAGCACCTTTCAACTGGAAGAGCAATAAGCACATGAATAAACTAAGAAAGGATGGGGAACTGAACAGCTGAACCTGGCCTGACAGAATACTTTGGCCCATTTTAGTTATTAGAGAGACAGCATAAACTTGCAGTGAAAACCAAATGTTTTGTGTTTGCATGGTGTCTAGCACACAAATATCCTGATCCATGACGGAGGCGCTTAGGAACAACAGAAATACACATCAATAAGAAATATTTCATCATTCTCATCAATTCTGCAGTGGACTTTTTTTTTTTTAAATGAGTAGATTTTTTCACTGCCGCCAGGGGGCAGAAAAGGCCTTTGAAGAGTATAATTTTCCATAACAGCCATACTCCTAACTAAAATTCCTGACGACACTAACGTTTTCCACTTTTCTGAGTAATTCCTACCTCTTTTACAAATAATATGTTGACCCGTCATATCCTACAACGTTAAAACAGTGACCTGTGCGAAGGATGATGCTTTACGAACTATATAATCTAGAGGTGTTACCAGCTGATCAACAAAGAGAACACAGTGTCACACTAATTTTTGTTAATGTTATTTTTTCTAATTATTCTAATTTCATGAACTGTTTATTTCTTAAGAAATTCAAGAATGTTTTAACAACATTAATTGGGATAAAAACTTTTAACTTAATAAGGGCGGAGTATTATCCTTAACCTCGTATTTCCTGGAAGTTTATTATTATTTGTTTGAATTTATTTCTATTGTTAGGGAACTGACATGCAAATACCTTAAACACAATACAGCTGTTCAATAACAAATTTTTTGCATCTTCATTACACATACAGTACAAACCAATGAAGCCACTGCACTTTGCTTCCTGCTCATCTTGGAGAGGTACAGTCCAAACATTTTGTATTATTCATATAGATAAAATGAATTTTGCTAAATTGTTTGATTTGGTAATTAATTATCTTAATTTAGTAACTAATTATCTAACATCAGCTAATCAGTAGAAAGATTAGCCTGGTTTGGTTTTTTGTTTTTGTTTCTTTAAGTATGTCACAATTATTATGTCACTGAGTTCCTTTCTGAGACCTGAGGAAGAGCTCTCTGTAGCTCTTTCACCAACAGAAGTTGGTCCAGTAAAATATATTACCTCACCCATCTGGTCTTACAATTATTATGTAGGTTAAATTCTTGTTGGTTTATTTTCTAGGTTTAATTTCTCTTCCCTCCCAAGAATGTTATGAAATTGATATGATCATCACAGTAAATACATAGAATACTTTGTTACATACACCTGTTTTTAACTGAATAACTGTAACATTTTATTTACCAGAGACCCTAACAGCACCCTCAGCAGCCTTTACAAACTCTCATGTAACTCCAGATTTTGGCATTTCTTAAAAAGGGATTTCTTTTTAAAACCCACTACACTGTAATGGCTCTTAAGAAGCTGTTACTGTCTAGAGTGTAAATCCTTCTTAGTGTGTGTATTAGTGACCTGATAGACTGTGATGGAGCCTTCCAGGAACCATTGTGTTGATTCAGCTGTGAGGCATGTGCAATAAGTTTGCTTTCTGAAATCCATATGAAATTTTCACTGAAATGAGGATGGGGGACTGAATCAGAATGGAATATCCAAGTCAAGCTTATTCCCCGGTGCCCTAAAACACTCATGCTATAGATCAGCTGTTTACAAATTCAGGCTTTTTTAAGTAATAGAATACTAGCAAAAAAATGCATTTTAAGAACTTTTTAAAGTTCAGTCATGAACTTAAAAGTAGCCACACATAGCTTCTAATGCCCTGATTCTGCAAAGACTTAAGCACCCAGGCCCTCAAAGGTATTCACGCTCCTAACTTCCATAGAAATCAACCTTTGATGATCTGGGCCAGGGTTAACTTAACTTATGACCTGAATGGGAACGACTCACAAGGCATAAAGTTAAGCATGTGCAGGATCAGAGCCTAAATTAGGAATAAAATAAATGTTCTCTTGGGATAACCTTTTTGATTAACATTCATTTATGTGCAAATAGTAAAGCCTTAAAATGAGAGCGGGTAGAGTGAAAATGCTGGCAGTCACCTTACCTGAAATGACATAAACAATATTGCCTTCCTTTTCTTATTTCACTAAAAATAAATACAGTCTGAGGCCCCTGGCCTGCAACGAGAACCACAGTGGCAGACCCAGCTACAGAATCAAGGTCTTATTCTTATACTACCATCCATATCTCATATTTTGCAGATTACATTAGTACAAAGTTATTTAATAAGTCAGAAGGCAAGAGAGAGAGAGGGATGTTAGAGAATGCATAAACAAGGGCGGGGGGATATAGATTCAGATGAGAGACCACCAGCAAATCTAAGTTTGAAAAACGTGCTTCTAGTGAACCCTTTTTTCCCTCATCAATCATAATATGTGTTCCTTTAAAAATATTTTATGGAACAAAATATAGAACTATGTGTGTATTGAATCTGACAATAGCCATGTAGATATAGCAGGGATTTTCCAGCCCAAGACAAGAGGTCAACACCACACTGGACTTCTAAGGGGAAAAAGCTTAATAGATTAAGATAGAGAATTGTGTGTTTTAGTATCTTTTTCAAAACCATGGATCCTTCACACACGCCACATGCTGTTCGGTAATCAAATGGAAACTGGAGGACCAGCTTTGCAGAACAGAAGCTCTTCTCTCACTAGAAGACAAGGCCCTTCCCTTGAGATACGTCATGTGGAATAGCGCATGTAGCAAAAAATACTGTTAGTTCGACCATCGTGTTTTGGACAAGAAAAGGCCTAGATTTCCTAAAATCATTGTTGTCCAAAGCAAGAGGAGCTGTTTGTCCTATTATGTAAGAAACAAACTTTATTTGGTATTCAGTTGACTTTCTAACTTAGAAGAGAGGACTTTACATCTTCAAATGCAGAAAAGAGATTGCATTCTTGGCCCTTGCTTGAAAAGGTTATGGAGAATAAACGCACACCCTGGTAGCGTTCTAGTGATCTCCCTAATCTCAGTTGCACTTTGTCAGAACGAGGTAACTGGTAGTTAAGTGAAATACCCTAGATCAAAGGGGGATTAATCACCAACTGAATCCTTGCTGAATAAACCTGTCATTCAAGAAAATTATTTCCACTGAACTTAGCAAAGGATTGAAGGTATTTGCATAACAGGGACCAACGTACTTCAGCCAGGTTAAAAGGTTCAGAATTCATCCAGTGTTTAGCTTTTTGCCTCCTTTTCCTTTCAGCAGCCCTGTACAATGGCTTCTAATCTGATAATACAGCTAACTATCTAAATGATGTCAGAACAGGAAAGTATTGCAAAGTTTGGATGAGGGATGGATCAATTTCACTTTCAGTAACTCCTAAATCTGATTTGTTGGAATTTAAGATGTAATCCTTAAAAAAAGTCCCTTAAACCTGAGGGCTGTTTATTAACATCCTCTTTTTTTTTTATTTGACCTTTGTCTTAGAAACTACTATTCTGTACCTGCCAGCCTCCGGGAGTCCTTTCTGATAATTTCATATACATTTACTTTTAATGACTTATTTTGGAGGATAGCTATAAAACCAGTTGGGTTATAGATACAATTTCAGATTTTTATTTTAAAGCTTGTGTTGCTGAGTTAATGAATGAATACAAATAGAAGCAGGATGGATAGGGTTAAATAAATGAAAACAACAGGCTTCCATCATTTTCCAGAAACTATTTTCATAAGAGTTTCAGAGACCTACAGTCTTTCAATGTGTAATCATACAAAGATTTTTAAAGCCAGTAAATTGTCTTTTTTATTGTTGTTGTTGCAGGGAACCCAACTGTGGTGGAACAGAAGATGAGGAGACTAAACTGGTTTTAGACTGCTGTGGCATTCTTAGTCTGAGCTATGAAAACTTTGGGAAAAATATGAAGACCGTGCAATTGTTGTGACTGCTTTTATCATCAGTCTCAAGACGAGCCTCTCCATGTGCTCATTTTCAGGCGCTTTCTACCTCTCTCACCTTTTGGATACATGGCAGGAAGTTTGGATACATGGCAGACGTCAGATTTCGTAATCAGATTTTGACACTAAATGGAATTTAGCCACTTTTACATTGAGAATATGTTTGACATCATTCAGTCTTTCAATAGAAACAGTTCATATTCATTGCAAACTCAAAGCATCTTTCAAGTTAAAAAAATGGCAAAGAATGGTTATCAAAGAAAATGAATAAAATCCATATTGAGATAATTTTTTAGAAAATGATTGAAGTTTTAACCCAAGAAAGGACTCTTAGAGTTTCTTATAGCTTAGAATAAGAACATGTCAATCACGATTAAGCTTCTGGAATCGGAATCCCTTTGAAATGCAGCTGTTTCTTCTTTAATTGTGGCAGCGGACTCAAAAGAAAAGAAAGGTCCAGCCTTAAAGATGAGTAAGGAATACAAAATAGCTCAGGATTAGTTGTGGAGTTCAAAGGTCACTAATTACACTAAGGAGTTCCCAGACACAGGGAAAACATTAAACAGGTCACCTACCAAATGGGAAACAGACTTTGTCTTCAAAAAAATTATCCTGAAGAGATAGGTTTCTAGACAAAATCAAAATGCGTCACACAGTGAGACCAGCTGATCTCAATGGGATGAGAACTGGAATTGGTTTTAGTTCTCTACTGTTATGGATGGCTACAGATACCATGAAGATTAACAAAAATTGTCGAGATTTCACCCAGCTTTCTAGAATGCTCTATTAAGGCAGAGGGAAAGGCCTTAGCATGAAAAAGATGATTTTTACTTACTGCCCTTGATCTGCCTCAGTGAAATACAAACCACCTCTAAGATCAATTGCTGACCTCGGCACTTGGCTCATTTCATTTTACTGAAATGCCTAGAAAATTGTTCAGCTGGTAGAGAAACATTAGCCTAGCCTGTCAGATGACTCTGCTGATAGCGTTATCACACAAGAGATGCTCGTTCAGGAATGACCTCAGGGGGAGTCTTTCTTCAGCCAATGGGGGCTAGAATCAGCTTGAGGGTAATGGTTTCCCTCAAGGTCTCTTCCCAAGAGAAAAGTCCAAGGCACATTGTTTGTTGGCACTCCCTAGCAGTTGATCAAGTTGAGGAATAAACTTCAACTGAGGATGAAGACAGCTGTTCTGCTGCCCAGGTGTGTGCAGCAAGAATTAGGAAATCATGAAAGGAAACGTAGTGACTAAGAATGACAGTGGGTGGAAGCAACAGAGAGATTTTAATGACCAAGACCCAGATTCAGCAAGGTACTTACACACATACCTAACTTTAAGCACTGACTTCAGCTGGACATGAGGAATCCCATTGATTTCAGCTGAAATCCATGAGACTACTCACATGTTTAAAGTCAGGTACATGCTTAAGTACCTTGCTGAATCAGGGCCCAATGGTCCCTTGTTGTCAAAAACTACGAAGTGTCATTGCAAAGATCTACCATGACAAGCTATGCCTCATTCCAAGTGGAAGGCCATCCCTTCACTGGAAAACCTTAGAGCATTCAGTTTAAGGGGGCGAGGGCAGGAGGAAATCTCTCTCGCGCCTTAGTTTATTGATTAATAAAGTCATTTACATGAGAACAGGAGCTAATTCTTCAGTTCCCACTTGCCCACCTGAAGTCATAGTCCTGTTCCTGATATTGCAATCAGCGGATCTTAGAGCAGAAACAGATTTGTGGTTTCATGGAAATAAGAGAAGAGAATTGCAGAAAATCTGCTAGGTGCATACCTCGGTGGTTTACAAGGAGCCCATACTTGCCCTTGAAGTCAACTGAATTTTTGCCATTGACTTCTATGGAGCTAGGTTAGGCCCCAATTGTTTCATTCTCCCTCCCCTGCACACTGTGTGAATAACAGAGCATTGTGTGGCATATTAAGAACTGGTGCCAGGGGAGCTAACCCATAAATAGGCTATGGAGCTGCAATGCAGCCCCTCTGTGGCAATCAACTGTAAGAGCAAATGCTGCATCTCTTCTGCTGAGGTTTGGAGCTTCTGCTGTCACGGGTTACCCCCGGGGTGCCACTTGGAACTGGGGTACCGCTGAGCCCTCCTGACCCACCAGCCTGGGCTCCCTTTACACTACTGCTGAGGCAAGCCTGCCAAGTCCTTTTCCAAGCTTCAGACTACACTTTGCCAGCGCACACACAGGTAGGGACACACCCAGCTACAGCTACACACACAGATGCTGAGATCAGCTCTGCATAGGAAGGCTCAGCTAAGGAACTGCCCAGTTACTCAAGTGCACACCCCCCTCTGGAGTGTAAACCCAACATTAGACCGTCTTGCGCTGCACAGAGAATTGTACAGTGTGAGCTCATGAGAGTCGCCCTTTCCCTCAATGTGGAGAGGAATATACACAGCTTTCTGCCCCACAGTTATGATTTCCACACACTGGTTTTAGACAAAACAAAAACAAGTTTATTAACTACAAAAGATAGATTTTAAGTGATTATAAGGGATAGCAAACAAATCAAAGCAGATTACCTAGCAAATAAAACAAAATGCAATCTAAGCTTAATATACTAAAGAAATTGGACATAAGTAGAAAATTCTCACCCTAAATATTGTTTTAGGCAGATTGCAGAGATTCTTGAGGGCAAGCTACACCTGCTTGCAGCTTAAAACTCCAGGTATTCCTTTCACAGGCTAGAAAACTCTCTAGCCTAGGTTCAGCCCTTCTCCCCTGTGACGGTGCCCCCCATAAGGTTTTATGGAAATATGCTTATGAATATATATATGACAACTGGAATATGTTCTATGCTACATATGCCACGTAACATATCTATGTAAAGGTTATGATCTACTGAATCTATTAATCCTATTTGTATGTATGTATTATTTTTTTGTTTGAAGTTACGAATATTGGCCGTGTACTGGCTTGATTTCTAAATAACCTTAGTTGAGCATTTGGTCAGGTCCTGGAGAAAGGAATTCGCAAAGTTAAGTGCCCAATCAAGAAGTATTTAAGGAACAATGTATCTTGGAATGCTCCAATCCACATAAGAAGTCTTCCTGGAGACATTCAAGATACCATGTGGGCAATGGCTTCTGTGTGTAAAAACCATGAGTCATGCATGGACATGTGACTTGCCCAGGTGACTCCAGAACTCCATCTTGGAGCTGAACTTTGCATACGAGAGAAGAGGGGGTCTCCTCCCACAAGAGAAAGTCTATTTAAGCCGGTGGGCGACCCCTCCATTTTGTCTTCAGCTGGCTAAAGAGAGCCTCTCCACCCCTACGAAAGAAACTGGAACAAAGGGCAATAACTACAGGGGGTGTGAGTGATTGCTGGACCCAGACTAGAAGGAGATCAGTCTGTAAAAGGAAGCTTACTGGAACAGGTGAGGTTTTGTCTGTATTCAGTTTTATTAGACATAGACTTGCAGGTTTTATTTTATTTTGGTTGGTGATTCACTTTGTTTGGTCTGTTACTACTTGGAACCACTTAAATCCTACTTTCTGTATTTAATAAAATAACTTCTTACTTATTAATTAACCCAGAGTATGTATTAATACTTGTAGGGGGGGGAAGGGCGGAGACAGCTGTGCATATCTCTCTATCAGTGTTATAGAGGGCAAACCATTTATGAGTTTACCCTGTATAAGCTTTATACAGGGTAAAACGGATTTATTTAGGGTTTGGACCCCATTGGGAGTTGGACATCTGAGTGTTAAAGACAGGAACACTTCTGTAAGCTGCTTTCAGTTAAGCCTACAGCTGCTAAGGGACGTGGTTCAGACCTGGGTCTGGGTTTGCAGCAGGCTCAAACCAGACAGGGCACTGAAGTCCTAAGCTGACAGGGCAGGAAAGCAGGGGCAGAAGTAGTCTTGGCACATCAGGTGGCAGCTTTCAGGGGGTTTCTGTGATCCAACCTGTCACATCCCCCAATTTAGTGTTTTTTTCTTAGGTGTTTACAGCAGTAATCTTGGGCGGGGAGTCAGTGAAGAACGACTCATGATGATGTCACTCCCCTGCCTTAAATAGTTTTAGCATATGGCAGGAACCCTTTGTCCCCCGGTTTGATTCCCACACCTGGTCAGTGGAAAAACACTAGTATTCTGATGGAGTCCAGTACCAGGTGACTTGGTCACATGCCTCTGTAAGGCCATAGCAGCCATGAGAGAGACTGTTTGTAACATCCTCAGGAAGGCTTCCCGCTGGGAGATTGGCATCTTCAAAGTCCTATTGTTTTCCTTAATGGCCCTTCCCAACCAGCCATCTAGACTGATGCATTCTGTCTAGTGGGCATTCCCCAGGTGTAAACACATTTGTAATGGATGCATAGACAGTATTCCTAACTTCAGATATCCAAATACTACATGCATACAAGTAGAATAATCATATTCCGTAAATCATAACCTTTCCAATGATATCTCACATGCCTTATCTTGCACATCATAATTAGGTCATACTCATAATAATATTACTATGAAGAATATGGGGCATAATGCCACAACTGCATCTTCACAAGCAGGGATGCACTAGCCTCTTCCTAAAGGCTCATTTAGGGAACACAGAGCTGCAATTATTTCCTCCACTGTGCAGTGCCATTATGGTGCTTTAGGGCACAGGGAGTCTTGTATGTGCCCTCTGCCCCTTGCTGAATTTCATCCCAAAGGATTACAACAATAGCGCATGGGGAGACTAGACTGTACAGTAAGTCGAAATTCAGATTCCAAGCCCAGAGGGGCTCACTGTGATCATCTAGGCGGACCTCCTGTGTAACATAGGTCATACGAATTCCCTGAATGAATACCCGTTTGAATTAGAGCATGCTTTTAGAAGAATATCCACTCTTGATTTTAAACCTTTCCAACAATAGAGAATCCACCACAACCCTCGGTAAGTTGTTCCAAAAGTAAATTTACCCTGTTAAAATTTTGCACCTTATTTGAATTTGTCTAGCTTCAACTTCCAGCCATTGGATTTTGTTGAAGCTTTGTCTTTGAGACTAAAGAGCCTGATTATCAAATTTCTGTTGCCCATGTATTCACTTATAAACTGTGATCGTCACCACTTAACCTAACCTTTACTTTTAACAGTTTGAGCCCCTTAATTCTCTCACTAAAAGGCATGTTTTCCAATCCTGTAACCATTCTTGTAGATCTTCTGCAAGATCGTCTCCAATTTTTCAACATCTTTCTTGAACCGTGGACACTAGAACCAGACACAGTATTTCAGTAGTGGTCATACCAGAGCCAAATACAGAGATAAAATAACTTCTCTACTACTCAACATTCCCGTTTATATACTGGAGGATCACATTAGCCAGCGTCACACTGAGAGCTCATGTTCAGCTGATTATTCCCCATGACCCCCAACTCCTTTTCAGAGTCACTACTTCCCAGGATAGAGTCCTACATCCTGTAAGTAGGGCCTACATTCTTTGTTCCTAGAAGTATGACTTTACATTTGGCCACATGAAAACACATATCGTTTGCTTGTGCCCTGTTACTAAGCGATCCAGGTCATTCTGTATCAGTGACTTGCCCTCTTCATTATTTACCACTTGTGCAAATTAGGTCTGCAAATTGTACCGGTGATGCTTTGTGTTTTCTTCTGGGTCATTGATAAAAAAGTTAAACATGGGCCCAAGAACTGATCAAGACAGGACATCACTAGGAACACACCCAATCGATAAGTTCCCATTTACAATTACACTAAGACCTATCAGCCAGATTTTAGTTCATTTAATGTGTGCCATATTGACTTTCCGTTGTTCTAATTTCTTAATCAAAATGAAGTGCAGTACAAAGTATATTACAGAAACACTATTACCTTTATTAAACAAGCTTATGTAATCAAAACAGATTAAGTTAATTCCATTATTTTGCCCTAGATTGATGTCAGGCTGATAGGCCTATACTTACCCATGTTGTCTCATTTGCTTTTTTAAAATATTGGCATAACATTAGCTTTCTTCCTCTCCTTTTGAGCTTACCCTGTGTTCTAAGACTTATTGAAAATAAACATTAATGGTGCAGAAAGCTCCTTGGCCAGCTCTTTTAAACTCTTGGATGTAAATTATCTGGACACGCTGATTTAAAAATGTCTAGCTTTAGCAGCTGTATCTGTGAGAGAGGTGCAAATATGGAATTACAAGAGTCAGGGCCCTTCCTCTGAGAAAGAGCACTATGTATAAAAAAAGATTCTTAAAACTGCCCTTTGGTACAGAAAATATTGACAGGTTTCAGAGTAACAGCCGTGTTAGTCTGTATTCACAAAAAGAAAAGGAGTACTTGTGGCACCTTAGAGACTAACCAATTTATTTGAGCATGAGCTTTCGTGAGCTACAGCTCACTTCATCGGATGCATACCGTGGAAACTGCAGCAGACTTTATATATACACAGAGAATATGAAACAATACCTACTCCCACCCCACTGTCCTGCTGGTAATAGCTTATCTAAAGTGATCATCAGGTGGGCCATTTCCAGCACAAATCCAGGTTTTCTCACCCTCCACCCCCCCACACAAATTCACTCTCCTGCTGGTGCTAGCCCATCCAAAGTGACAACTCTTTACGTAATCAAGTCGGGCTATTTCCTGCATAAATCCAGGTTTTCTCACATCCCCCCCACCCCCATACACACACAAACTCACTCTCCTGCTGGTAATAGCTCATCTAAACTGACCACTCTCCAAGTTTAAATCCAAGTTAAACCAGAACATCTGGGGGGGGGGGGGTAGGAAAAAACAAGAGGAAACAGGCTACCTTGCATAATGACTTAGCCACTCCCAGTCTCTATTTAAGCCTAAATTAATAGTATCCAATTTGTAAATGAATTCCAATTCAGCAGTCACGCAATCACAGACATGAAGGTCGCTATCTTAAAACAAAAAAACTTCAAATCCAGACTCCAGCGAGAAACTGCTGAATTGGAATTCATTTACAAATTGGATACTATTAATTTAGGCTTAAATAGAGACTGGGAGTGGCTAAGTCATTATGCAAGGTAGCCTGTTTCCTCTTGTTTTTTCCTACCCCCCCCCCCCCAGATGTTCTGGTTTAACTTGGATTTAAACTTGGAGAGTGGTCAGTTTAGATGAGCTATTACCAGCAGGAGAGTGAGTTTGTGTGTGTATGGGGGTGGGGGGGATGTGAGAAAACCTGGATTTATGCAGGAAATAGCCCGACTTGATTACGTAAAGAGTTGTCACTTTGGATGGGCTAGCACCAGCAGGAGAGTGAATTTGTGTGGGGGGGGTGGAGGGTGAGAAAACCTGGATTTGTGCTGGAAATGGCCCACCTGATGATCACTTTAGATAAGCTATTACCAGCAGGACAGTGGGGTGGGAGTAGGTATTGTTTCATATTCTCTCTGTATATATAAAGTCTGCTGCAGTTTCCATGGTATGCATCCGATGAAGTGAGCTGTAGCTCACGAAAGCTCATGCTCAAATAAATTGGTTAGTCTCTAAGGTGCCACAAGTACTCCTTTTCTTTTTAGAAAATATTGAGTAATTATTTGAAGTAAGTATTAAATGGATGTCCTTATCTTGAAAAAGAGGCTTGGTACATTACTAAGCAACTAAAAGGGACATCAACTTGATGTCTAGTTAACATCAGAACAAGTCAGAAGTAGTTGCAGGAACACCTACCCTTGTATTTTTTGTGGGTTCACAATCACATTTTCCTGATATAAAAAAAAGTTTCTCTCGCAAGACCCAAACAAATAGGGAAAACTGATAAGGAAACAGCAAACCCAGCTCGACACAACATACCATCAAATACACAAAGTAAACAAATTAAGAGAATTTTTTCTCTAACCTCTCCTGTATAGTAATCTCAGCTGTGGACATGACATTTTCAGATAGCATTTCCATTAGGTATCATGGGGGATTGTGGTGGTTATAATTAGCAGTAAAACAACAACACTGTTTCCCATTGTTCAGGCTGCAGCTATCTCGCAATCACCACACCAAAGAGGGATCTTGTGGCTATTAAACAATTTAGCTCAAACATGCTTGGTCTACTTAAGTTTGTCTTGGAGGTTGACTAGTTCATAGCTGCTTTCCAACGTGTGGGTCAAATTATGCTCTCAAAACATCCCATTGAAGGCCAATGAGCCACATTTTGTCAGAAGGGGACTGAGAATTAGTAGCATTATTTCCCTCATCTTCTGACTACAAAGGATTTCTCTGCTGTGTGATGTCCATGGTTTCAGGTGAGGTGAGAGAGGCTGGTAATGGCCTGAGGAGAGACATCACCTGCACTATCATCCCCCTCCAAACCTTCACGGACATCCCCACGTAAATTAATCCTGCCAATCACTTTCCCTTCTTGCATACTGAAGTCCTCCTCGCTTAGGGAGATTTGGAAGCATGGACAGGAGGCGAACCAAAAGGAGCACAGCTTGTGAAGCAGCCCTGCTATTATGGACAAGGGAGCTTCTGCTGTCACACAATGAATTCCTCAGCCCTGTTGATGCTCCAAGATACACAGGATTGTCCTGGAGATTCTTGGACACCTGTGAATTACAAAGGTGGTGCCTGCTACGAAGGGTGAACCAATCTCCTTTCCCTCTACTGGGATGGTGCAAAGCAATCCCCACAAGTTGAAATTCAGATTCATGGCCCTTCTGTAGCTTTCTTGTACATAGGGCATGATCTGCCCCCCGCCTCCCTTTTTAAAAAAAAATTCTCTAACTTAATCTAAGCACAGTGTTGGTCTGTGTGTACTACAGAGTCTTGGGGGGGCAGGGGTAGGGGCCAAAACTCTAGGGAATTTATGAATGCACTATTTGTCCAGTAGTAAAAATGAATGCAGCATCTTTGTAAAATGGGTCATTTTAATTCCACCATACTGTAGCTGTCCTTTAGAAGTTTGCATAGCAGTTTCAGCAGAGCTGCATGGTTCACATGAACCAATCTACTCTTTAGAACGTTCAACCAATTAGATTACTATCTCAATCTAAGAATATTTAAATTATAGCTTATAACTTTCCTCCTTATATAAATCAATCACACAGCGTACAGTTAAACAAGAGGTACTGTAGCAGCAACCACGGTGCTCAGTTATTAGAGGCGGCATTCTTCTCTTCTTTTGTGTCATTCTCCAGGTTCCCACAGTTTTTTCCGCCAGCCTTTCACAATTTGCTCATTTCCTGATCTCTCTCTCAAAGTCCGTTTCCTGTGTTCCTGCAGATACTAATTTTCTTCTGAAAATTAGAGTTTTAACTCATATTCCCTTTGCTTGAAGCCCAGGTTTCTAACAAAAGTGAGTTAGCGATACTTTTCAGCACATTAACAAACTTGGATAATTTTGTTCGCTATTTTTTGTAAATATTTGATGATTTGTTTTTTAAACTGTATTTGCATCTCTGTATCATCTTTGCTACTGTCTCCTATAACAATGCTATCTAAAGGTAGATTTCCAGATCATTGCTATCAATGTCATTAGGTGGTTATTGTTCACAACTTTAAAAGCACGATACAATTCATTTGCCATTACTAAAATATAAATGAGCTAAAGTGTTCATATGTACTTCATACAGAACCACATACAAAAATCATCTTGTCAAACAAATGGGGAAGAGCAACTGTATGAAGACAAAGATTAAAATGATTCTTTGCTATTGGACTGCCCTATTAATTTAGGGTCCAGTCTGACTCCTTGACTTCATTATAGGAGTAAGATCAGGCACTTTATGTGGGCCTGTAAGTTTGTGTGTGTTGATGGACCGCTGGTGCCTGCATAGAACCACACTGAAGTTGGTGGCATTCTGCATACGAACAGGGCTTGTCCATACCAGCTTGCAGCATTGGATCTTTATTTTGTAAAAGTTAAAAATAGCGGGAAGATGTGTGTGGGGTAGAGATGGAGGGGTGGAATCAGACTTTAAAGTGTATTCTTTCAAATAGTATCTAAGACTAAAAACGTTACAGCAAACAAGATAAATTATAATTTTAATTGAAATAAATTGATGTTTTCCCCCAAAACAGGAACTTAAATACGAATATATTCATTAAAAATACTACCTTTTTTTTTTCTTTACAATATATTAACATCACTTCTGATAGCGGTCTTTTTTGTTCAAATGCAAAAATTCTTCACAGGGAAATTAGAAAAATAATGTTCTGTACACTACAGGTGCTGGGGCTTTGGAATTCCAGATGTAATAATCTGAGGAAATCAATTCCCGGGCTAAAAAAGATAGACAAAATAAACATTAAATGGTGTCTTGCATTAAGATATGACTTTATTCAATTTAAGAAAATATTGATCCATTCTTATTAATTGACAGAAAAAGTGTAATACCCAAAAAGTGTAATACCCACTCTTTAAATTGTAATACCCAAATTATTATTTGGGAATTGTTTCTGAAGAGGAGATATTTAAAGTCTCAGCTTCAATTACCTCTACTAATACATTGGTCACAAGCTTATAATTCAAACAGAGGCTAACTCAAAAGCAGGCGTATGGTTTGGATTTTGTTTAGTGAATATAAACTGTGTATTCAATATAAATATATATGGCATGACAACTAACTACTGTGATGAATGGTTTGGCACCGCTTGAGTTCTCATGAGGAATTTCTGGGCTTCTGCTGAGGTACTTGGAACAAGTTACAAAATAAAGCAGCAGCAAATAAAACAGTGACTTTATTAGCCACCACTGCCTACTCACATTTAATGAGTGTCTAATATTTGCCCAACAGTGGTACTTTTTTGGTGAAGACCCAAGGACCTTAAGTGTTCAAACACATCGGAAAAAGAATGGCCCACTGTTAATTGGGGATGACAGCACTTTCTTACATCACAGATTTGCAGTGAGGATAAATATATTAAAGAATATTAAAGACTGTAGGCACTTGGATACTTTGATAATGGGGGCCATATAAATATTTAAAATATAGAGATTACCCACTTATGCCACGTGAATATTGTTCCTCTTCTATAACCCTTTTTTATCAGGTACATGTTATAAGAGAATCTTAAAAAAGACATAATTTAAGCTGAAGCTAGAATACAGTAGCTATTCTACCTGGAGTACATAATTCAGTTTCCAAGTGTAGTTCATAATGGTTTATCTTGTCAGAAAGACTGCACTATTTATTGTAGGAGCGGGTGTGATATTTCTAGTTACCGTGTCACTAGATCTTTACATTCTTGTCAGACTCAGTCACATCATTTGATTAAAAAGGTACTTTCAAACTTTTTTTTTTTTAAAAGAGATACGTTTTTTGCTTTAGTGATTTTTACACTGAAATTCACTAACTTTGAAAATAATATTTAATAAAATCAACAAAAATAATCTAATTTTAAAACTCAGCCAATTATTTGTACTTCACAACTCCACTTTACCGTTTCAACTAAATATTAAATAATTTTGAACAACTCACATGTACTTATTTTTGGTTTTCCTGTTGAAAAGACCTGAACAGAATGCTGATCTGCATAACATCCAGTAAGTGTGTAGTCTGGGATCCTAAAATAAAGCTACAAAAATATGGAGAAAACATGATCAGATGCATATTTTTATTCTTACTTCAGAAATGCTGGTAATCTAAATTATGCCACTCTTGGTGTGCAAAGACATAAAATTGATAGGAAGGAGCATCCTAGAGAAAATAGAGAACAAAGATACTGATTGTGTGTGATGCAAATCAATGTAGTTTCATAGCCAATTTTAATTAACAAAAAGTGATTACTAACTCTCATAAAGACTACAACTCACTTTTACATATGCAGTACTCCCAGTGCAAATTGGATCAACTGGTTGCTCTTTGCTCATAGAACGAAAAGTCACAGTTCCAGTAAGAGAAATTTCTAATGATTTGGGAAACTTTTGTCCTAGAAACAAAAACTGCCTCAGTAAAAAAATTAGATAAACAAATGTACACAAAAAATGACTCTGGAAAAAAGAACGATGTATTTTATTCAGCTTACCTATGACCCAAACCAATAAGCTTTTCTCTCGAGATACATCTAGCTGGCCATAACTAACTTTGTACTCCAAATGAGCGACTGGACCCCTATTGTAGAAAAGGGAGTAAAATGTCATTGGAACGAACACCAGACAACTATTTATTGACAGGTATTTTATTGAATAAAGCAAGAAATGTATTAAAACGAATGTCACTATTTATGTGTGCACAGAGAAATCACACTGAACGGAACATACTGCTATCTTGTGGAAAGAAATTACAGCCAAGGGGGATCATTACTGTTTTAACGTATTAACTGCAGTAGAGCTTTTGGTGATTTTATTTCATTTATTTCCTTGACAGCATTTTACCACTGCTATGATCAATGTCAGCAGCTTTGTAGAATTTCAGTTATAATTTAATGATAATTATATGACAATACACTCATACCAATCGTCAGGCTTAATAAAACTGTATTTTAATTTTAAATAACTATATTTGGATATGAAGAAAAGGAGTACTTGTGATAAACACCCATTTTTTCATGGTCTGTGTGTATAAAACATCCTCACTGCATTTTCCACTTTATGCATCCGAAGAAGTGAGCTGTAGCTCACAAAAGCTTATGCTCAAATAAATTGGTTAGTCTCTAAGGTGCCACAAGTACTCCTTTTCTTTTTGCGAATACAGACTAACACGGCTGCTACTCTGAAACCTATATTTGGATAAGCTGATTTTTGACAATGATTAGAAGTTTTTACATTTGGGAGATCCTGGTTTGGAAGCAACCTCAAGACTTACACCACCAGGTCGGTGGTGGCTAAATTTGACACAAAGAATGGTAGAGGGAAATAGGATATACAGTGAAAGTGATCCAAGTTATCCTTTCAGAGTAGTAGCATAAATCTGGTTGGAGAAAGCATCTGTCCTGACTGTTGGCATCGCTGATAAAAAAAAAAGGATACCAGAATCAGGATCCAGTTGAATATCCTGAGTATCTCATTTGAGTTTGAATACTTTTTAGGTGATTTCTTGACTTTCAATGACAGCAGCCTTGGACATATGCTTGAGGGGGAACAAAACCTGATATGTTGATCCATGAGAGCCCATTCTAAGAAGCCTACTAGGGAGGTGAAGAAAATTATTTAGGATTTCTTTACTCTTACCTGTTAAAGAAAGGTATACGAGCTTCACAGTACTCAAAAGCATTTTTTACACTTTCATGAAGTTTTAAATTAACTGTTAATTTTAATTGCAATTCTTCTTCCTTCAGCTGGTAAAATCCCAAAATTGGTGGTACAGGCACCTGAAAAGAGTAGACTAATTTTAGGAATAATTCAGCAATACCTTCAAGAAGTTAGTTATACTCTTTAATAATAAGTAATTTAATAGTTGATTAATTTATGTTGAAAACTATATATTTTTAATGACCCTGCAAGCCAGGCTCTTCAGGTCACTTATGCTACATAGATTTGTGGTGTGCTAGGAACAGTTCCTGGCACCTTATCTTTGCTCTACTGTGTCAGAATAAAGCTTGCTAATCCCTGAGGAAGCTCATTTAAACTCTCTCTCTCTCTCTCTCTCTCAAAAAAAAGATTTTCTCCCCCCTTCCCACCCACTTGAAAGACTGGTAAGTTATATCCATCAGGAAATGTAGTTACCTGGGAAGTATAGTAGCACAAATTGAATAAGTCAGAAGGAGGAGTGAAAGGAAGTTTATATGGCCCGCTAAATGCAGAATCATCCATGACATCAACGCTACAGGAAGTAAGAATTGCAGAGTCAAGAGAAGTCACACAGGGATGCACCAGGATATCCTGGAGTGGAGAGCCATTGGCAGGGAGGTTCAAGCTGACAGTCACATTTGATGTAGCTCCTTCTAAATCACACTTGAACACAAAATGTCAGGAAATTACTCAATAGTATTTCTAAAATCAGAACTAGACATTTGAAAATAAAACAAAAACTAAACGATCCCACTAAAGAATTTTAAATGGGCTCGCACGTGAATGACAGATATACTTTCAAACCCATGTATTTTCCCCAGTTTTTAACCTTCTGATATTCTAAGGAGCATTAACACAGAATCTTTTATAGAACAGTCTTTTAATTAATAAGCACTCCTTGGTAAAAGATGCAACTGAACCAAGCACATGCAGTAACATTATTAAGAATTTGATAGACATATTCAACAATGGTCTGTCCAATTAATTCAGTTATTCATATATCTGTTTAATAGATTCAAACATGCTATTAATGTCCACTGAGATACCATGTCAGCTGTCTCACAGTGATGACCTGCAGTGCTATCCACTGTCTAGTCACTTGGTGCACCAGCTCAGCAGTGCGTGATTACACCAATACTTTCTCTTTATGGCTGGCTATCTACTCTGCAAAGTGACCCAGAAACCTGCTCCACTGAGCACAAGAATCTCTCACCAAGATAATCCCCACCAGCACAACTGGTGGGAAATAACCCAGAGTCTTCAAGAACAGTAGACTTTGGTCAACTTCCCTATGATGAGCATGCTGCCACTTATTGCTAATAATTAAATTACCATGATGCACATTATCAGAATTTCTTTTCTCCTTATCAAACAATAGCAGCTAAAAAAAATGGTTAGTTATAATAATGTCACACACTTCTCCAGCACAATTTATGATAAAGAAGAGAAACCTTAAATCATTTGATACAGCTACTGGATTCACTATTAAAGATACAAATATTAGCATGTTTCATAAAAATATTATTGATCTACTTAACCAATTTGCTTCCTCATTTTTACTAATGAAAATGAACACCTGAAACACACACAGAGGCTATTTAAAACAATTATAACCCTGTTTTCTTTCATAAGAATCTATGTTCTTAGATTTATCAACATTAGGAATTAGAAATAGCATGTGTGGATGCATGATTTTGTTTTAATAGAAGAAAGCAAGATATAAAGTTAAAAACTTTCATTTACTTGAAACCCACCAAGCAATTTTTAAAGCGCTAATGCAAAGACACTTTTAACATTCTCATTTAAGAATGTTGGTTTTGGTGATCATTACTAAACAAGACATTTATTAGATGGCTGGGGTAAACTTAGCACTGTAATTGTCATTTTTCATTCCCTGTCCTTAAATGCAAACACTTACTATTTCATTTAAAATAACAAGAACATTGTAAAATACTTTGGTATGGATGATGATAGAGAGGAGTGTTGGTTTTATTTCCCATAAATAGCTAGTGAAAAAAATGTGTGAAGAATGCAAGAAAATAACAGTAAAGCAACATTTTTTATTCTGATTTAGCTCACTAATCTAATAAATATCCTCTGGTACACATTTAGGCATAAAAGCTATTTCGTTCGATTGCCCCATATGCCAAGGTAAAATGAACTGAAATTTTACTTTTCCTAGTCCGTTCATATGCTAAACAGGTTAGTCAGATTTGTACTAGAAATATCCTCACCTTACAAGTCACAGTTCCATAAACCTGCCACATATCTGCAACATCCGTTTTGTCATATTGCATAGACTTGACTTTTTCAGTGATACAAACATTAACCTGAGGTTTGCCTTTGTATGTGCTAATTCTCCAAATTGGTTGTTTCTGCGTGTGGTTTGTAGAAACATGAATGTTATCTAATAAGCCATTCAAGTCTGTATCTAATGGGGTGCCATATGGACAGGCCTGCATGAGCAAACTTGGAAGTTGGCCCACTTTTGCACTCATCTCAGCTTCATTCTTCTGACTGGAGTTAATGAAGACCAGCAATCCTGACAAGAGAGCGAAGGCTTGTGAGATTCCACTAATGCTAATGAGGGGTGGGCGTGGCTTCAAGAATTGCTCAACTAGGGGAAGACAAACATATATCAAACCACTCTTCTGAAAGGCAAGGACAGGCCAGAGGTCCCCTCCTCCTGTTGGAAGCGCATACACAGAAGTCTTGTTGATTCGAGAACAGCTATCTCGATATTCCACAAAGTTCTTGTCTGGATCTGTCAGCTTAAGTTCAAAAAGCAATGCTTTAAGAAAAACACTGTCCTCTGGTACAGTCACATAGCTTGCTCCGTTGAAGGCTTTTGCTCGTTTTTCAACAGTGGGGTAATGCCTGTAATACAGAAGCAGAAATTCATTTGCATTACTCATCTTACCCCGCCCATAATACAAAACACACACATTTCCTGATATTGTCTGAGCTATACTTTGTCTTTTCTAATTATCCAAATGCAGAAATTCCGCTGCTGCTCTGAGAGGGAGTATTACAAAGAACTATGGAAGATGGATATAGTCAGGGTTGAGGTTCAGTCAAATATAAAAGCAAGGACAGAACATTTGAAGGCCCTCATCCTGCAAATTATGTTGTGCTCATGGACCCCTATGGCACCCTAATGAAGCATGTGGGTGAATGAGTCTGCCCACCTGGAGCAACTTGCAAATCAGAGCCTAAATCACTGCTAATAATAAATAAAATTTTTAGCAACAAGTGGATTTTTATTGGAAAGTTTGAGCAAAAGTACTCGCCCATTTTTGAATAAAGATATGTATCTTTTTCTGTTATAAAAAGATGCAGACTATTTAAAATTAAACAAGCATAAACAACATCTGTGCAACGGAACTTTAAAAGTTGAAACTTTCCAGGAAGCTAGGTCTCATTCACTGAGGACTGGTTTCCAGGAAAAATGAAAAATAAGTTTTGTATTTGTGCAATACAACATTTCTGCTACCTTTAGTGTTATTATAATAATATTTATAAGACTATAGAAGAACATAAATACATAATATCAATGTTAGTTACATACATATAATAGGTTTCAGAGTAACAGTTGTGTTAGTCTGTATTGCAAAAAAGAAAAGGAGTACTTGTGGCACCTTAGAGACTAACCAATTCATTTGAGCATAAGCTTTTGTGAGCTACAGCTCACTTCATCGGATGCATACTATGAAGTGAGCTGTAGCTCACGAAAGCTTATGCTCAAATAAATTGGTTAGTCTCTAAGGTGCCACAAGTACTCCTTTTCTTTGTACATACAATACTTAGTTCTGCCTTGAGTGCAGGGGACTGGACTAGATGACCTCTTGAGGTCCCTTCCAGTTCTATGATTCTATGTAGTTTTGCATTGCTATTCCACCGTGGACTTCCATAATTCTGTAATTCCAAAACTGAATAGGCAAGAGTTTACATCATAAAATCTGTAGAGTGGTGATTACTTAAATTAATCTAATATTAAGGTTAGTGAGCAACCTTTACTTTAATATACAAAGGTCTTACAATAAAAAAGTCCATTTTTTCAACAGGAGTTGGATTTGTGTGTGGATAAAATTGGATTCTAAACTGTATGTACAGTATGTGTAATTTAAGACTACAGTAACTACTTAATATATACATCTCTTGACAGTTTAAAAAGTTATAATCTTAATGTTACATTAAAAATTTTATATATTTTAAAATTTCTGTTTTGTATAAATGTTCTTTACATATTTGTCTCTGATTTTCTAGTGAGAGAATTTGAGAAAAATCAAGCCAGCTATTTTATGCTACACCTGGTAATTTATCCTCAAACAATATTAATTTATTTATTTGTTGGGGGGAGAAATCCCTATTTTCTTCTTAGGCTAATTTATATCTACCAGGAACAACTGAAGATTTGACTTTTTAACAGTTGACAAAAGAGGAAGAGTGTTGTCACTGGTTTACTCCCTCCCCTAATCATCCTGAAATGGATTCCTATTTGGGCCACAGCATGTTTGCTGGTGTTGCTCTCAGACCCACCTAAAAGACCCTTTTAAGCAATAGTGGAGCAAAAGTTATATATATGAATTTTTAAAACAAACTATTTACATGACTCTACAGAAATTAAAAAGATAGGATGAGTCTCTCAGTCCTTTTGCACTTCATTTTATCTGTGCCTTCCATGTGTTCTGCTCCCTTTGATTCCTTGTTCCTCTGGTCATAGTTCTTTAGTTTGAGGGTTCTTCTCCCATTGGCTGGCAAACAGCTCCAGTCCCTTTTGGTTCCTCTCTTGGCAGAAGCCCTCATTGACGGCAGCTACGCTGGCTTCTCCTGGTTGTTTTCAGCTGGTTTTTACAAGCATCTAGGCCTTTGTAGTGAAGAGCCTGGATAAGAAAGCATAACAAAAAAAGAAGCCAGAACTGTGTGATTTACACATGGACCACACGAAAAAGTTTGAGAATCATCTCTCCAAGTGGTCTCATATACATGATGAAGAGTAGGGGGCATGGATCTGTTTCACAGCTTGAATTTTTCTCAGGACTTGTGAAACATAATTAAATAGGATGGGACCAAGTTCTGCCTTGGGGATTAACTCTTGTTTTTGGCTGTTTTTTTGAAAATATGGTACGAAAAAATGCTTGGGGTGTAAAGTTTTGCATCACTAATATCCTAGTCTTCTGCCAGCACACTTCATCTGCTTGAAGTTTGTCAGCAAACCACAGTGATCTCATTCTATGCATGCAGAGGAGAGGCTTGGATTCAAAGCACTGATGGTGGTGACCATCAGATGATTATATTGCTTTATTGACTTGCTGGTCTCTTAGCCTTGTGGTTTTCCCTTCAAGGATACACTGACAATTTCATGAATTTAAAAGTTTCCACTGGTGAATCAGCTGTGGTGGTGCACCTATCTTTATAAGATAGTATGAATGCTCTGATCTTTGCCTGGATGTGAATGTGATCAGACCAAGAGAGTGGAATGTTTGTGATGTCTCCAATGTCCTTGCTTATGCTGAACATCAGATCTAGCGTGCATCCAGCTGAGTGCATGAGTCTGGAGATGACTTTTCTGAAACCCAGGCGAGATAGGAGACTGGATGTTAAGACATTCTTTATATTATCTATGTTGAAGTTAAGGTCACTGATGATGATGAACTTGGGTATTCCAACACAACTATGCGCAACAGGTTTATTAGTTCCCCTAGAAAACTGACAGGATCTTTGTCTGGACATCACTAGAAGTCTAAGGTGCTCTTTGTCCTCTTCCATGTAGTTCACTGAGAAACATTAAAGTGTTTTTGTGGAAAGCAGAATAGTCTACTGAATAGGGCACTGGACTAGGATTCAGGAAGCCTGAGTTCTATTTCCTGGTTCTTCAATTATCTCTGTTTACTCTCTCACCATTTGTCCAGCTTGTCTGTTTAGACTGTAAGGTTTTCAGGGCAGGGACTGTTTCTTACTATGTGTTTGTAAAATAGAGCCCCAATCTTGGCTGAGACCTCTAAATACTACTCTAATACATATAAGAGGAGGAATTTCTAGGGTAGAGCAGTCTTCATCTGAGGTTGGAGGTGAGACTACTTTCTTTTTGTCTTGTTCTGGATTCTCTCTTGATTGTGTTGAATTGAGAATAAGATTGCAGTCCTCCACTTTTACCCCTTCTTCAGGCCCCACAATTTTTTCCTGTCTCAAATATGTCCAGGTTCCCTTCTCTCATTCTCTAGAGAACAACAATCCTCTAGAATCATACAGATTACTCTCAAACAGGCAGGAGACTTCCCACGAAAACACAACTGGCTTTTCTAGTCAGAAGCCTTTCTGCTCTGTGCTTTCAGTTCTAAAGGAGTAAGAGTCCTAAATAAATAAATTCTTCCTGGAAAATGCCTGTTTAGTGCCCAAAGAACTCTCTCTATATGAAGGTTACAATCAACTTGGGCAAAAATCACACTTCTGGCTGAAAATACTTTACCTACTCTCCAGTTACAAACAGAAGAGTACTAAAACTCAAAAGAAGTTAACAATGTTTTTCTACATTTTCAGTTGTTTCTGTTGATCATTTGACAACGTTTTGTAGAGTCACCTTCATGATTTTCTGTGTGCCACCAGATACTGTAGTTTTTTCTCTTAATGAAAAGACTCTCATTAACATCAGAGGAACAGAAAAAACACCACCACTAACATTTGTTAAAAAGGAATTTAAATAGTATGGGTTATTTTACTGCTCTCTCAGATATTGGAAATTTTAAAAATTATTTTTCTAAAATTAAAAAGACACTGTCAACTTGAAGTACAATATTAATGAAAAAGGATTTAATTGGCATCATGCAGTTTAAACCCAATATGGAGATTAGTTTTGTTTGTTTATTTTGCAGAAGCAGTCGAAACGTTCCATATATCATCATTCAAGCTGCTATGAAAATACTGATGTTCTTACATTACAAATTGGTAATCTTTTTGGTAAGAGTTACTATTCAAAAATAAAGCAAATGCAATAAAATTATAACAAAAGAATAAATAAGCAATCACAGCCCAGAAATATCAAATATATTTTCACTAGTGTAATAATACCAAAATCTTACTGACAAAACTGTATCCAACCACATCACTATATTTCCACTATATTTCATCTAGTTATTCACTTTTTAGCCCCGTCCTCATACTTACCAAGCTTTACTATGGCATTTGATCAGTCATGTAAGTTGTTTAATGCTTTGTATACTCTTCTGCAATTAATATTAGTCTTTAAATAATGCAAAGAACCCAACATAAACAAAAATTTGAATCTCAGTTTCTCACTCTATTGTGCCAAATAGTGGGTAATGTTATGCATATGTACTGAATTACCAAGCTTCAGGTTAAGGATGGAGTGGGAGTCTCGGTTTAGCACTACATTGCTTTTGTCCGTTCAAATCAGCCCCATATAATTTGAGCAGTTATTTGAGTTTCCATACGCTTCTGAAAAAAGTACCAGCTTTCTTCCCAAATGAAAATAGATTTTTTTAAAAAATAAATCCTTATCTCTGTTCCTAGTAGCATTTGACATTTAAAAAAAATATTTCATTTTGTTATAATCCATGGACCCAGCCCTGCAACAAGCACTGCATGGGCAGACACATGCACCAGCATGGCGCTCCAGTGAAATCACAGTGAGGCTCTGGGAAAGCACAAGGGTCCGGCCTGCACATATTAGATTGTAGAACTAGGACCTAAATGACCTTTCAGCATTTCTCTCTTCCTTATGTGAGGATGGATTTGAAGGGCAGTGCATATGTGTTACAGTTATTCTCTAGAGAGGATGGAGGATTTTGCTGTGTGTTTCAGTGGGCCTGTCTTCACTAGAATATGTTAGAACTTAACCCTGTGGAGTCATGATAAATAATGCAAAGTCCTGTCTAACATTGTAATCAGTGTAAACTGAGCCAAATCACATTTACTATTGAGCCACTGGTCATGGGCATCCCTATTAGGGCCATGATCAGTACACAGAACATTAAACACTATTTGTCCCTGTCTATGCTGACTGCAAAGTCATGTTCAACATTGCAACAGTTAATGTGCCTCTTCTAGGTCAGGTACGAACATGACCTGATTTTCTGATGAAGCAAAGCCCACTGAGAGATATTTACTAGCCCTGTCAAGGTTCCCTGACACAATGAGATTCACAATGATTAAAGTTATTGGGTCTATCATAATCTGAGAGTAGCAATTTTAGTAAAACAGTATTTACACAAAATCAGTCGATGACCTGGCTTGATTTTTATTTTTTGTTTTGTTTTGCCAGGTCTGCATGAGCCACCCTCAGGCACACACTTTAAGCAGTGGAGACTCAGATTAACATAGATTCAGGCAGGTGGTAGGCAGCGTTACCTGGAGAACATCACGGCTCCACAGGCCCCTTGCTCGTAGCTGATGAGCCACAGTCCCCTCAGGGCCATCACAGACAGCGAGCTGACCAGGACCACTGCACTTCAGTTCACCATGATGGGCAGTTACCTGAGGTGCCCAGCATCCCAGGCCTACTGCCTGCCCAGGGCATTATTTAACAGTGAAATTCCTGCCTGTTCCCCCTAACAAGTCCCCGTCCCCCCAGCCCCTCCTTCCTCAGCAACAGGCACCCCCACAAGCCACCCAGGGGAAAGCCCCTTGGCTGGAAAATACCCCCCCAAAAGCAGAAGCTTCCCCCCAATCTCTGTCCCCTCCCCACCCAGACCAGGAACACCCTCTTCCTCTGCCCCGCAGTAAGAGCCTACGGACCCAAACCGGGAGCCCTTCCCCTGGCCTCTGCCCAGCCCCAGCCCCCCAAGTCAGAGCAGGCACCTGCCCAGCCCCCCAAAACAGAGCAGCCCCCGCCCCAAGAGGGAGCAGGCCCCTTCCCCTGGCCTCTGCCCAGCCGCAGCCCCCCAAGCCAGAGCAGCCTCCGGGGCACCCCCGCCCCACTGCCGCTCTCTGCCCGGCGGAAGGACCGACTGAGGCGCCGCCCGGCGATGGCGGAGCGCGAATCTGGGGGCGGGACGTTCCCGCCCTTCCGGGCCGGGCGCTGCGCACCGCGCGGGCTGCGGCTCCTCTGCGCAGGCCAGGCCCGTTTCCGGCGGGCGGGGGCGGCGCGGGCCTGTCAGGGGCACAATGGGCGGCGGCGGCGGCGGGGCGTGAGGGGCTCGGCGGGGCGGAGCTCGGGGCTGCTGCCGCCACAGACACAAACACAGACATGGCCGCCACTGCCGAGCTCTTCGAGGTGGGTCGGGGCGGCCCTGGGTGCGGGGGGGTTCTCTGCGGCCTAGGGCTGGAGGGGCAGTGGGGCCGGGGAAGGAGGGTGTCCTCTGGGGCTGCAGGGGGAGTGGGGCTGGGGGTCTTCTGGGGCCGGGAAGGGGGGTCGGGCTGGGGGTCCTCTGGGGCTGGGATTCCTCTGGGGCCGGGAAGGGGGGTCGGGCTGGGGGTCCTCTGGGGCTGGGATTCCTCTGGGGCCGGGAAGGGGGGGGTGGGGCCCTGGGGATGATGTGAGGCTCAACAGGTTGGCAGGCAGCGGTGGGGGAAGGTCACGCTGAGGTCCGTTTGGTGTCTGATCTGCGGTGAAGCAGAGGGCACAGTGGGTGGGATTGCCTCTCCCACAATTAGTGTTCCCTCCCCTGGGGAACAGCCCCACGGGCGGCGGGCGCTAGAATAGATGGGTGCCGCAGCCCTCAGGAGAGGAGTGGTGGCAAAAGCCGAGACACCTGAGACCCTGGGGGCTGGTTTCCTTCTGTGCTCGTCCCTGGCGTAGCTGGTTGCTGGAGGAACGGAGATGTCCAGTGTTGTGAGCTCAGCCTAAACTCAGTTCTGTCTTGGCTGTCAAAAGTAAATTCTCCTGTCCCACTCTAAACAGCGTGCAGCTTTCGACTTCATACACAGGTGACGGAATGGGAAACAACATAGAAATGAAAGGTTTCAGAGGAACAGCCGTGTTAGTCTGTATTCGCAAAAAGAAAAGGAGTACTTGTGGCACCTTAGAGACTAACCAATTTATTTGAGCATGAGCTTTCGTGAGCTACAGCTCACTTCATCAGATGTTTACCGTGGAAACTGCAGCAGACTTTATATACACTTCATGATTCATATACTTCAGAAATCATGATTTCTGTGTGTATATAAAGTCTGCTGCAGTTTCCACGGTAAACATCTGATGAAGTGAGCTGTAGCTCACGAAAGCTCATGCTCAAATAAATTGGTTAGTCTCTAAGGTGCCACAAGTACTCCTTTTCTTATAGAAATGAAAGCAGACCTTGAGCAAGGGTTGCTGTGCTGGGAGAAGAATAGATATAAAAGGATGGGGAAATGGATAGAAAGGAAAAATAGTGGTGGCTGTGTTGGGTTCGGTGCAGTGAGGGCCCCAACAAAGAAATTCCTGTTGTGTCTTCTTTTATACTTGGATTGTAAACTTTTTGGGGCCAGGCATTGTCTCTTTGCTATTTGTTTGTATAGCACTTAGTACTGGGGTCCAAGACTAGGGCTTCTAGGTGCTATAAATAATATAACTTTTTCATGGTGTGAGGACCGTTGTAGTAGCGATATTGTTCTTATGACCATCTCCATTTGCCATTGCATGGAGGCAAGTCAGCATCAAGTACCCAGCACTTGCTTCACACATCACCTGGAAATGTTCCATGGACCAATTTGGGAACATTTGCATTAACCCTGGCCCTGGGAATAGTTATTCTGCTACTGTATTTGAGTCAGATACATTGTGAATCATATTTGTGACTGATCCATGTTATAACACTTTTTTCTGGCTTGTATCAAAAGAAAAAAGCAATGTTGAAACACTGTGTTATAACTACATTAAGGAGCCATATATTCGCACCCTTTAGTTTATAATTGAGTCTGGAAAAATACGTTTGCCCCTCAGCCTGAAGACAACATTAATTTAGTTAAAGTTAGGAATAATTAAAAAAGGGATAGAAAATAAGATGGAGAATATCTTATTGCCCTTATATAAATCCCTGGTACACTCACATCTTGAATACTGCATACAGATGTGGTCTCCTCATCTCAAAAAAGATATACTGGCATTAGAAAAGGTTCAGAGAAGGGCAACTAAAATGTTTAGGGGTTTGGAACGGGTCCCATATGAGGAAAGATTAGAGAGACTAGGATTTTTCAATTTGGAAAAGTGGAGACTAAGAGGGGATATGATAGAGGTATATAAAATAATGAGTGGTGTGGAGAAAGTGAATAAAGAAAAATATTTACTTGTTCCCATAATATAAGAACTAGGGGCCACCAAATGAAATTAATGGACAGCAGGTTTAAAACACATAAAAGGAAGTTCTTCTTCACACAGCGCACAGTCAACCTGTGGTACTCCTTGCCTGAGGGGGTTGTGAAGGCTAGGACTATAACAGAGTTTAAAAGAGAACTGGATAAATTCATGGAGGTTAAGTCCATTAATGGCTATTAGCCAGGATGGGTAAGGAATGGTGTTCCTAGCCTCTGTTTGTCAGAGAGTGGAGATGGACGGCAGGAGAGAGATCACTTGATCATTGCCTATTAGGTCAGGGGTGGGCAAACTATGGCCTGCGGGCCACATCCGGCCCGCGGGACCATCCTGCCCGATCCCTGAGGTCCAGGCTGGGGAGGCTCACCCCGTCCCGTCCCCCGCTGACCCTCTCCCCTGCAGCAAGGCAGCTGTGCGGGCAGTGTGGCTTGTGCCCGCCCACCTCCCAGGCTTTCAAATAAGCCTGTCCTGTCACTCTGAGCAGCATGGTAAGGGGTTAGGGGAAGGGGGGTTGGATAAGGGGCAGGAGGCCCTGGGGGGCAGTCAGGGGACAGGGGGTGGTTGGATGGGGCGGAGGTTCAGGCGTGGGGGTGGTGGTGATCAGGAGTCAGGGAACATGGGGGGTTGGATAGGGAGTGGGGTCCTGGGGGTTGGGGGGGGGACAAGGAGCAGGGGGGGGTTGGTAGGGGGTGGGGTCCTGGGGGGGCAGTCAGGGGACAGGGAGGAGGGGAGTTTGGATAGGCTTGGGAGTCTCAGGAGGCCTGTCAGGGGGTGGGGATAGGGGTCAGCGGACAGGGAGCACGGTGGGGTTGGATAGGGTGTGGGGTCCCGGGGGGTGGTTAGGGGTGGAGGTCCCAGGAGGGGGCGGTCAGGGTAGAAGGAGCAGGGTGGGTTGGATGGGTTGCGGGTTCTGACGGGGGCAGTCAGGGGGCGGGAAGTCGGAGTGGGCGGATGGGGGTGGGGGCCAGGCTGTTTGGGGAGGCACAGCTTTCCCTACCTGGCTCTCCATACCGTTTCGCAACCCTGATGTGGCCCTCGGGCCAAAAAGTTTGCCCACCCCTGTGTTAGGTTCGCTCCCTCTGGGGCACCTGGCATTGGCCACTGTCGGCAGACAGGATACTGGGCTGGATGGACCTTTCGTCTGACCCAGTACGGCCGTTCTTATGTTAACATGGTTGCATTTTGCAGTGTAGCTGTTGGATATGCATAAAACACTAGGTCTTTTCTGCGTTACCAAATGGAATTTATTGTAACATGACAAAATATGGTTTGCAGTGGTGGTTTAGCTGCGTTGGTCCAAGGATATTAGAGAGCCAAGATGGGTGAGGTAATGTCTTTTATTGGACCAACTTCTATTGGTGAGAGAGACAAGCTTTCGAGCAACAAAGCACTCCTCTTCATGTGTAGGGAAGGTACTCAGAGTGTCACAGCTAAATACAAGGTGGAGCAGATGGTTTAGTATAAGCAGCTAACACATATTGTCAGAGACCATTCAAGGGGAAATGGCCTGTTAATACGCCTACAATCATAGGACAAAAAAGGGGTGGTTAGATTATTGTAATAAGCCATAAATCCAGCGTCTTTAATGGGTTCATGATTTTTAGTATCTTGCAAAGTTAAGCTCCCAGGCTCATCTTTTGAAGGTGTTGTGTAGGTTTTCTTTGAGGATGAGGACTGAGAGGTCAGCTATGGAGTGATGGTTTTGTGAAAAGTGTTCACCCATGGGTGACTTATTTATCTTTTATCATTTTTCTGTGCGAGTTCATTTGAGAGTGTAGTTATTGTCTGGTTTCACCCACATAGTTGTTATTGAGACATTTAGTGCACTGAATGAACTACTCCACATGTTGTGATAGGCATCTTGAAAGATATCTTGTGGGGGATATTGATCATCATAGCAATGGAGATATGTTTTCAGGTTTTGCATCCGTTCTGGCAGGGTCTGGTGCTGCTTTGAGTTGGTCCTGTGGGGAGGTTGCTTCTGATGATGAGCTTGGAGAGGCTGAGGGGTTGTTTGAAGGCCAGAAGAGTGGGTTGGAGAAAATTTCTTTCAAGATGTGGTCCCCACTGAGTATAGGTTGTAACTGTTTAATGATACCCCATATGGGTTGCAGTGTGAGGTGTAGGTGACAACTAGGTGTGTGCAGTTGGAGTGGTTCTCTGTAGGTCATCTGTCCAGAAGATGAAAATATCATTGATGTATCTCAGGCATATCATTGCTTTTGTGGTATATTTGGCTACAAATTCTTCCTCAAAGTGGTCCATGAAGAGGATGGCATATTGGGGAGCCATCCTAGTATCCATGGCTGTTCCCATGGTTTGGTCAAAGTGTCGTTGAACGTAAAATTGTTATGGGTGAGGATGAAATGGATGAGTTTGGTGGTGTGTTTGGAGTGGTTATCTGAGTGTGGTCCATTGTCTTGTAGATATTTGAGGCAGGCAGCAATGCCGTCATTATGAGGGGGAATGGTGTGTAGGGAGGTGACATCCATGGTGCAAGGACGATGATTTGAGGGAAATTATGAATGTTGTGGAGTTTCTGGAGGAAGTCAGTTGTGTCTTGGAGGAACCTGGCCCTTTGTGCGGTGAGTAGTTTGAGGATGGTTTCTGAGGCCTGATCATCTGCCAATAAAAGTGCCATCACCAGATAAGATGGATCTGCCTAGGTTCCTTTGTTTGTGTATCTTGGGAAGCATGTGGAGGGTCCCTCAGGTGGCTTCATGGGAAATGAAGTTGTAGAGTTTCTCCTGGAGTTGTTTGTGGAAGGACTTGGTGATATCCTTAAGTTCCTGTGTAAATTGTGGTATGGGGTGTTCTTTGACTTCTTTATAGTAGGTGGTGTCAGAGAGTTGTTGTTTTGTCTTGTTAACGTAATCTCATCATGGTTGAGAACTGACATGTCTCCCCTTTGTCTGCTGGTTTGATCACTGATGATTTCAGGGACTGTGTAGCTGTCCTCTCAGTGGTAGAGAGATTGTGGTGGA